CCCCCCCGGTCCCACGAAGCTCCGGCAGCGCCCCCCGTGCCACGCACCGGTCACACGAAGCTCCGGCAGTGCCCCCCGTGCCACGCACCGGTCACAAAAAGCCCCGGCAGCGCCCCCCGTGCCACGCACCGGTCACACAAAGCCCCGGCAGCATCCCCCGTGCCACGCACCGGTCACACAAAGCCCTGGCAGCATCCCCCGTGCCACGCACCGGTCACACAAAGCCCTGGCAGCGTCCCCCATCCCACGCACCGGTCACACAAAGCCCTGGCAGCGTCCCCCGTGCCACGCAGCGGTCACACGAAGCCCCGGCAGCGCCCCCCGTGCCACACACCGCTACTCCACGGCAAAGATCCCGGCACCAGACCAAGGCTGGAGCACAACTCACACCTACAGCACGAGATCAATGGCATCGAACCTGCTGCTGCCTAGACTTGGGGAGCTCGCACACGTTACGTGTTTTTTCCTCTGATGATATTCACTTACAAGTAAGAGCAAAGCTCTTGCAAAACTCAGAGCAGGAACCACTGCTGCAAGGGCCCCTATTTTTCTGCAGAAAACAACACTCAGTGTTCCACTGCAAACCTCCCTGTGCCTGGACGGCCCCTTGGAGCTGGGGCAGTTGGATGCCCAGTGATGGGTTCAGCTCAGACCCTGCTCCCCCATCTGCTCACAGGGGTAGGTAGAGATGAAAAAAAAAAAAAACCACAACAGAAAACCCACAAAGAAAAAAAGGAAAAAAACAAAATAAACTCTGCCTCAGCAAAGCTTTTTTTGGAGCTGTTTGGGGGTGGTACGCGCTGCTGGGCCCCCACAGCCCAGCATCCCAGTGGCAGGCAGCTGCCTTGGGGCACGGAGCAGAGGTGCCCTGGCAGCACAGGAGCTTTGCTGCGTGTTGTGTGCGTCCCCCCACACACACCACAGGGGCCCCCGGTTGCTCCCCCAGCACCCGACCCCACCGGGAAGCTTTGGGCAGCGATGAGACCGGGCTGCATCTCCACACGCACCCACATACAGCGCCCGTGGGAATACAGGATGATGTTTAACCACCTGCACTGGGCTGCCTCTGATGTTCTCGAAGTGAAATCTGACGCTGCTCCAAGACACACCTCTTCCAGGGTGTTGTGCAAAATTCTGCATTTTAACGTAGGACAGGAAATATGAAAAGAGCCGGGCAGAACCCTTGCAGCACCCTCGGTTCGGCCGAGCTTCGCCAGCTCCCGCGGGGAAGCAAATCAAAAGGTTTGCTTCGCTCATCCCTCCACCCGTGATTTTCCAGTGCTTTGGAAGCCGCAGTTCCTCCACTAACAGGTTTTTAAAGGACTGGCATCGCTGCTTCTGCCCGGAGCAGCCCCGCAGAGGGATTTTTTTTTTTCCTCCCTTCTCTTTCATGCTTTATTTCCTGACTCCACAGGGGGATGGGTCGGTTGCAAAAGATTCTCATTCCCTTTTTGGGATTGGTTTTGGCCTTCTGGTTTTATTCTGCGAGGGAGAATTTCAAACCGGGTAAGTATTAAAAGTGAATCTGTCTTTAAGGGGAAAAAAATAAAAGAATATTAAAAGCCACATTTGAGTGTTTTGCATAGAGCCTGCACAGAGCTTGGACCAAACCATGCCTGAGCCTTTGGGTGGTGGCTGATACTGCAAAGTGGTTTTAGCAAAGATGTGGAGTCAAACAGGCCAGTAATATGCAGAAATACTCCAAGAGAGCAGGTGAGGGGGGGGTCTGAGGGGGAGTGGGCTCCAAACACTCCATTTTCCAGCGAGTAGCAAAAGAATTTATAAACATGACTTTTAAATGTTGGGTTTTAAGTTCTGAGCATGCACTTAGTAGATAAATTTTATTATAAAATAGTTGGGTTGTCTTTAAGTTGTGTCCCGACTTGTGGGGAAAAAAAAAAAAAAACAAAAAAAAACCAAACCACTGCTGAAAAAGAGTCGAGCGCTGTCCCTGTGCCACTGCAGTCAGCGAGGGGCTGCAGCTGCTTCTCAGCACAGCTTTTCCCAGGAGATGGGAACGCATCCCAGCGCCGGACACTGCACTTGCAGGCTCACTTAGCGTCCAATTAACTACTTCACTCTCAGGAGCATGAAGGGGTTTTATTTTATTTTTAAATTGGGTTTGGATAAATTAAATCTCTGTCCCTTGGTCCCCCAGAGATGCTGAAAGGGAAGCGGGTGATCGTCACCGGAGCAAGCACGGGGATCGGAGAGCAGATGGCCTATCACCTGGCGCGGATGGGATCCCACATTTTGATCACAGCACGGACAGAGGCCAAGCTACAGAAAGTAAATGGCAAGCTGGGCACTCACACACGCACAAACGCCGATCTCGCACCGCGGGCACGCGCGGGAGCAGGGGCACAGGCAGTTGCTACGACACAAATACCAGATAGGCACAGGTACGGCCACGGGTACGCGTACTCGTGCTGCCAGGGGCTTCTGCAGGCACAGAAATCCCTCTCCTGCGGATACACGCACTCCGCATAGCGCATATTACGGTATTTGAGGCTGCTGAGCTATGTACACACATCCCCATACAGCCAGGCTCCCTCCGCACACACACCCTCATTCCACTGCAGCGACAGACCTGCTCGCCCTATACGCAGGCAATTCCAGCACAGGCTGCACCTACCGAGAGCCAGACTGCCGTGGGCAACGCATTCACCAAAAGACGTAATTTTTCAGGCTCCCTTTGAAGGTTTAAAAGGCTCCAAACCTACTCCCGAAACTCCCAACCGCTGTTTTGAGGCGGGGAGGCATCACGGGGAGCGCAGACCCCCCCCTTCCGCGACCGCAGCAGGCTCCCCAGGGCAGGGACGGGGGGGTTCTGACGCACGGTTTTGGTGCGGCAGGGGGGGGAGCGGTGCCTGGAGCTGGGCGCAGCCTCGGCGCGGTACGTCAGCGGCACCATGGAGGACATGGCCTTCGCAGAGCACGTCGTGAAGGAGGCAGAGACCTCACTGGGTACGTTTACAGCCCGCCCTCCACCAAGGGCGGCGGAACATTGCATCTCCCCTTGGCCACGCTGCTTTTTGCCACGTGCCCATTAAAAAAAGCAGAAAAGATGGCGTTGGGGTGAGATGGAAGGGCTTTTTCCCTAATTACGCCCTTTTGCGGTCCCGTTCCTCTGCCCAGCT